TGAAGCCTAATGATTTTGGAAAAATCTTCATTTCAGTGGGGAAACTGATTATTACTGATATAAAATAAAGCTAAGGCATACAGAGAAAAAGGCACTACTAAAACTTAACAATTAAATTTCTTCCCATTAACATTTAACCAATCTTAGAAGTCAAATAAATATGACCATTACATTTGTAACAAGGTCAAACTTAATGCAAAAACAATGTGTTCTGAAGAAATTGTCCTAATTTTAGCATAAATAACACCAATAACAAGAGTTCAAATTCTAACAAATGTTCTGAGTGTCTTAACAATTGAGACCAAAAACAGTCTTTTTCTTTAAAAGAAAAAGCTGGAAAAGCACTATGTTATGGAATAAATGTTCCCTATTCACAGGAACTGTCTGGACATTTTGGGTATTATAAGAAGGATTCCTGAGAGAAAGGCAGCCTGACCTATGGGGATCCCTCCAATTTGAGGATACTTTGACTTTAATCCCTGTCATTAATGACATTTCTATTTCTAATAGCCACCCCAAATTGCTTTTCCCCTTATTTCATAAAAAATCATCATAAAAATTTAAAACATCACTGCTGAGCTTTCAGGGTTAGAATATGCCATAAAATAAGTAAATGTCAGTTTGCTCTCATTTTCTCCTAGATTGTGACCTTCTTAAGGATAAATTAATTTGGTTTCTGACAGATATATTCCACAATTATTGAATAAGGAAATGAAAGTCTTTTTTTTTTCCCCAGGTTAGATTCTTATAAGGCATACCTCATTTTAAACTGTGTTACAGATACTGCCTTTAAAAAACAACAACAAAAATAACCCTGAAAATCTGTGGCAACCCTGCATTAAGCAAGTTAGTCAGAGCCATTTTTCCAGTAGCATGTGCTCACTTAGTGTCTCTGTATCACATTTTGGTAATTATCACAATATTTAAAATATTTTCATAATGCTATTATATACTTAATAGACTACAGTATAATGTAAGCCTAACTTTTACATGTACTGGGATGTGACTCACTTTATTGTGGTGATCTGGAACAGAATCCACATCTCTGTGGATGCCTGTATCTGATTGACATCAAGAGATTTTTACAACAAGCTTTTGGTTCCTAGATACCAAATGGTATCATTGGAACAAGATTCTGCTATGGGGCAAGGAGTGTGCATCTGGCAAATATCTTGGTTTTGCATTCTAGCTTGGTCATCCTTCTAAACTACTCATATTTGGTTTTATTTTCTTTATATGATTTAATACAACTGCATTTCACAGAGCTTATAAAAACTATATATCAGGAATACTGCAGTCCAGACCTGACAGAGCTGGAGTAGCAGAGAGCTACTCTAAATAATTTCACTTTTTTCTATAGTTTCTTCTGGGAATAAGATGAAAACTCTAAGTGACTGGTAATCCAATTTATCTGGAAATCAAATTTGTAATATTTTTTGTATAGTTCAGCATTTGCAATTGTATTTCAAGCTCTTATGTACATTATGAAGGTTGTATGTGCCTCTTAAAACTTTCTAAGGCTTTAAATAACCATTTTTTTAAGTTAGAAATATGATGTAAACCAGGAACCATGCTGAAAAATTTCAAGAGAGTCATGCTCTTTCAAAGTCTACATATTTTTAAATATGTTTTAAAGAATTAACAACCCATGAAAATTTCCATTCTTCATCATCATGTTTTTCAACCTTTTTATTCACTATACTTTGTCTGCAAAATAAAACATCTTATATTTGGTCCAGGCCTGAGTCATGCCATTCTGAATCTCTCAAGGTCTAGGTAGAAAGACACATCCTGAAAAGCACATGTGAGACTGCAAGGGAAATTTTCTCCAGCACCAAAGTCAGCCACCCTCAAAAGCAGAGCACATTTGAAAGGCACAAAGTCAGCAGTCTGGCCATTCTTCACCCTCAACTAAGAAACACTACAATATAGAAGAATCAGTTCTACATTTTAAAAAAAACAACAACAAAATACATTTAGAGTCATCTGAAAAAGTTCAGATTTCATTTGCTGACTCAATTAGAAAGAAGAAATGGAATGTCTTATTTAACTGCCCCCGAAATAAAATGCTTCCTTTCAAATTTTTAGTTTATTCTTGGTCTTTCAGACCTTCCACCCTCACCTTCAAACATTTTTGTTCTAGTAGTTTATATATATATTAACTTTAATTGTGGTTTTTGGTACCATCTCAATTTGTTTGAAATTTAAAAATTCATATCATATTTATATAACTTTGTAAACTATTTGTCTATTTTAAAGTCTTTTTATATTAAGAACATTACCTTCTCATAATTTTTTTTCTTTCTTATAAAGCAAAGGTCTTCTATAGCAGTATTAAAGTAGACATTTCCTTTCGTATGCATTTATTTTCTATAGCATTCAGAAAAGAAAAAAGAGACTGTGAAAAAAAGCAAGTAATTTTGCTGACAAATTTCACAGTATCCTAAGACTTCCCTAGAAAGAACATTTGCTGGTTACCCTGATAGACCAAAACAGAGACAAGGGAAAATCATAATCACAGAAGATGATGAAATGAGGGAAAAGGCCACTGGTACAGATGATCTTGCTGAAGCAGAAGAGAGGACCATACTCATAACAGATTAATAGGCCTACATGCTTGGGGATTGTGCTTCTAGCACAAAATTTGGCAGTTGGTTTATCGGCGGGGGCGGGGGGACACGACTATTTCTTGTTCTTTCTTGCAAGCTGTTTCCTTTAATTTTAAGGATATGGAAGAAACTTTGACAACTAAATTGTGCTTTAACTTCTTCTTAGACTGCTAGTGGAACTTCAGATATTCCTATGGGGAATGCTAGAACAGATCTTGATACAGTAAACCAAGAACCATGTAACTTCAGAAACAAAGTATTTTGAGTCTCTAGAAGAGTACATCTTTTGGCAGAAATAAGAATACCTGAGTCCCTTATAAGGAGCCCTGGTGGTGCAGTGGTTAAACACTCAGCTGCTAACCAAAGGCTGGTGGTTCAAACCTACCAGGTACTCCATGGGAGAGAGATGTGACAGTCTGCTTCCATAAGGATCACAGTTTTGGAAACCCTATGGGGTTTGGAAACACTATGAGTCAGAATTGACTCAACAGCAATGGTTTGGTTTTGGTTTTAGAGTCCATTGTGAATCCCATGAAAGGTATCACATTTAAGGCCTCCAGGAAAATTATTATTTTTCTAGAGCTTTACAAATAAAATATTTAGCACTTGCTTTAATATGCTGAAAACACTGCAAATTACTGGTATCATTCACGTTTTCAGTAGCACATTTCCATTAAGCATACTGCAACCTTTCTCAGTGTCTCCCTCCATTCTATAGCCTTGTTATTAGTAGACACATTATAGCTGGCAGTTGTTGAACGTTCCTGTTAATACTTTTTATTTTAAATATGCTTTTCATTTTCCTCACTTCTAAGTTGGTGGTTTCAGGAAAGAATATATAGATGGCTGAGTTCAATAGGAGCCCTGGTGGCGAAGAAGTTAAAAGTACTTGGCTGCTAACCAAAAGTCAGTTGTTAAAACCTACCAGCCACTCCATGGGAGAAAAATGTGGGAGTCTGCTTCCATAAAGATTTACAGCCTTGGAAACCCCATGTGGCAGTTCTACTCTGTCCTACGGGGTCCCTAGAGGTGAATAACCAACTTGAGGGCAGTGGGTTTGAGTTCAATAAGCTCCCTATTCAAATTCAATTTGTTTCTAAAACATAAGACTTACTAGTTTGGATACAATATGCAGCTAGTAAGAAAGGGATTGCAATTTGCTGAGACCACTCACCGATGACTTTTAGTAGTCGTATCTACTACTACTATGTAGTATCTACTATTGTAAAAGATTAATTTTGAATTATATAATTTTCTCAAAAACTGACTGTTTTGCTGGGAACCTCCTCTATAAATGGCTGTTTCTAGTTTATAAACAGAACTGGTCTTTACATCAGGGTTTCTCAACCTCTGCCCTACTAACATTTTGGGCAGGAGAATTCTTTTGTTTTGGAGGGCTATTCTTGTGTATTACAGTTAGTTGGAAAGCATTCCTGACCTCTGCCTACTAGATGCCAACAGTAATATCCTAGCTATTACAACCAAAAATATCTCCAGGAATTGGCAAATGGGATGTAAAATTGTCTTCCTCCTCTCCTGCACTGAAAACCACTGTTTTGCTGTTTTTTGAGGTGCTTTATTATTCTGTGATCCCAGGAACAAGGGTTCCATTTCATTAGACTAGCTTTAAAACAGATTCTCTGGGCTGAACCCTTGCTAAAGAATATTATCTACTGGGAATCAGGAACTAGAAATAAGAAGACAGTATACATGATTTTGATTATTTCTCCTTTCCCTTAATCTTGGAACTTTTTCCCTCAAAGAACATAGTTTAAAACTTACTAAGCTCACAGTTCTCTTTTTTATTATTTCTATTAATTGGTAAATATAATCTCTTCTGCTCTTAATATTTAATGAGAGCAAATTCTTTTTATATTTTATTTTTTGAAGCAGAAAACCATCCCTCAAGGCTTATAGATTCCAGTAACATGGATCTAGTATACTGTATTTGTTTATTACACTGGTTAAGATTAACAACTAAACATACTCCTTAGAGATTCATATTTTCCATCAAGATTCCTACTGAGCAAAAAGCTTGGTAGACGATTAGAATATAAAGAATACAGATATAAGAAGGAATCTATATTCTTTGAGTACCTACCCTAAACTCAAGTTTAGGGCTCAACCTCCCAAAATGAGGATCTATTTTAAATATTAACACCTAAAACTGTAAATTATATATCATTTTCTTTTCCTTGTTTTCCATTTCTCCCCCATCACCACAAATATGTCAGTGATGATGGGAAAGACTCTACAATCTTCAGGTATTCCAAATGAACTATTTTCACTAAGAAGAGCGACTATGTACTAAAGTGCTTTATCTCTCTGAATCACATCAGTATATTGTTTTAAAAAAAAAAGTTTCAAGTTCTTGTAAGGAGAAAAAAAAGACTATAAAAAATTTAGGCTACTATGATTAATAAACAAATTTAACCAAGAATCAATAGAAACATGTTTCCTCTTGTCTTTTGTTCTTCCCCATCTCTCTTTTTTTATAAAAAAAAGAAAAGTGCAGTCAGAGAGAAGGTGAATGAATCAATGGTAGCTGGGTAGAGGCACAGAAATGGTTACTGTCTGCTAGTGATAATGCACAAACATGTGTCTCAAGAGTTCATCAGCTGAGGGTCTCAGTTTGGCCTCCACAAAAATCTGTTTGAGAAAATCTCGGGTATAGTCTGAGATGTGCGGTGGCAGTTTTGGGTTTGTTGGTTGGGTAGCGATTTTAAAGATGGCAGCCATTGCTTCAAATTCAGCCCAAGGAGGCTTCTCAGTTAGCATTTCTACCACAGTGCATCCTACACTCCTGAAAAGAAAGAAAACACATTATACAAACAATAACAAAATGAGAAGTGAAATTCATTTTCAAGCTAAAGTTTTACTGAAAGGGTGTAATTATATAAAAATTATAATTTATTAAAGGAAGCCACAATTTAATGACTATCATTTAACTCAAGTGTTTAGGCAAAGAACATTATATATTTTAGAATTTTTGTCTGCAGTATGGATTATACATTAACATAAAGAAAATGAAAATCCTCACAACTGGACCAGTAAGCAGCATCATAATAAATGGAGAAGAGATTGAAGTTTGATAAATGTGAAAGTTTTCACATTACTTGGTTCTACAATCAACACCAATGGAAGCAGCAGTCAAGAAATCAGACAATATATTGCACTGGGCAAATCTGCTGCAAAAGACCTCTTTCAAGTGAAGAGCAAAGATGTCTCTTTGAAGACTAAGGTGTGCCTAACCCAAACTATGGTACTTTCAATCACCTCATATGCATGTGAAAGCTGGACAATGAATAAGGAATACTACAGAAGAATAGATGCATTTGATTTATGGTGTCAGCAAAGAATACTGAAAATACCACAGACTGCCAGAAGAATGAACAAATCTGTCCTGGAAGAAGTGCAGCTGGAATGCTCCTGGGAATCAAGAATGGCCAGACCTCATCTCACCTACTTTGTCATATTGTCAGAAGGGACCATTCCCTAGAGAAAGATATCACGTTTGGTAAAGTGAAGAGGGTCAGCAGAAAAGGGGAAGGCCCTCAATGAGATGGATTGACACAGTGGCTACAACATGGGCTTAGGTACAGCAAGGACTGTGAGACTGGCACAGCACTGGGCAGTATTTCATTCTGTTTTACACAGGGTCATTATGAATCTGAGCTGACTCAACGGCATAATTCTTTTACTTAATATTAAATATATTTCAGAGAGAACACAAGCATTAGAAATTCTTTGTTTGCTTTCAACTGCCTAAAATGAACATTTATTAAAAACTTTTCTAGGTAGGAAATAGGAAATGGCCATTTTATGTTCTAACTTAAAATAGGTAATTAAGAATTAACTGAATTATAAGAGACTGGACTGCATTCTGGGTAGAAATAAGAAAGCAAGCAGGTAGTTTTCAGGCAAACACAGCACCAAAACCTACCAGATATCTGCTTTTCTGCCGTAGCCTTCACCACTGATTACTTCAGGGCTCATCCAGTATGGTGTGCCTGTGACAGACTTCATTCCTGTCCCTGAGAGACAGATGGTCTGAAGCCGTTTGCTGGCTCCGAAATCTCCTAATTTGACATTGCCTGTTGAGTCTCGCAGAATATTTGCTCCTGGAAATAATAAATATCCTTACATTTCATTATTTTGTCAGCAACCTAGAATATACTGTAGAAAAAAAATTTATAGAATTACTCTGTGGATTCTTAAATCTTTCTCTAAAATTAAGCTGCTTTTCATCTTCTGAGCAGAACTTGGCATAATGCCAGTCACAGAGTCAGTGCTCAGTATTTGCTGCATGAGCATTCACTGTTTTGAGTCAGCTCTGTGTATTTCAGGATCTAAGAAAAGAATGTTCTCTCTCTAAAAAAGACTGGGGCAGATGGGAGGGGAGGATGAAAAGGGAAGGTAAAAGGGAAAGGACAAGGAACGAAACTCAATGAAAGATGATGAAAAACAATACAGTGAAGGATGATGAAAACAATACAGGTCCCAGGTTTCTCTATCATAAGACAAGAAGCTTATGGCTGAAGCTTATTTCCCTGAGAAGCCAGTTTCTCCTCAGGAACTTTCTGAGAGATCCTTATAACCAAACTTCTAGCACTACTTTCTGAAATAGTGCCAAGGCATCTGACAGCTAACCAGAAGGCTGACGGTTCAAACCTACTACCCACTCCTTGGAAGGGAAGACTGGGCAATCTACTTCCGAAGTGATACTGCCTCAGAAACCCAAAGAGGGGTACCTATGAGTTGGATCCGACTCAACGGCAGTGAGTTTTTTGTTTTTTTTATTACTCATTAAATATGTTATCTTACACATTGAAGTTTTTCTTAAAGTTGGGTTTTGCTTTATATTATACTTTTCAATTTCTGTCTATATTTTAAACCTCTTCCAAGAATGCTTTAAACTTTGTATCTGCTTTTAATATTTTAAAAATTTTATGAGAGTTTCCAATTTATAGAGTTATTGCAAAGATAGTACAGAGAGTAACCTATATACCCCCAACGAGGTTCCCTCTTTATTAACATCTTACATTGGTATGGCACATTTCTCACAATTAATAAACCAATATTGATGAATTATTATTAACTAAAGTCCACACTTCTAATCCAGATTATCTGAGTTTTTTCCTAACGTTCCAGGATCCCATTCAAGATACCATATTCCATTTACTTGTCTTGTCTCTTTAGGCTCAACAGTTTCTCAGATTGTCCTTGTTTTTGATGACCTTAAAGTTTTGGAGATTACTGGTCAAGTTTTTGTAAAATGTCCCTCAACTGGGGTTTTTCTGATGTTTTTCTCATGGAATAGACTGGAATACTATGTTCTGGGGAGAAAGATCGGTAGTAAAGGGCTATTCTTATCACGTCGTAGCAAGGATATATACTGTCAATGTGTAATCTATAAATGTTGATGTTAACCATGATTACCTGGCTCTATATAGCGTTTGTCATGTTCTCTATATGATGTTACTCTTTTTCCCCCTTCTCATACCATATTCTTTGGGAGAAATTAACTATGTGCACCCCACACAAGAAATGGAGTTATGCTCCACTTCCCTGAGGGCAGAGTATCTATATAAATTATTTGGAATTCTTCCGCATAAGAGATTTATCTCTGCTTCTCAATGATTTATTCTGTCACTTATATTACTGCAAACAGATGAATGTTTTTAAAAAATATTTTACTGTATTTTCAGTGGAAGTGTACACACCAAAACAAGTTCCTATTCACCAACTTCTAAACATATAGGTCAGTGACATTACTAACATTCTTCACATTATATCAACATTCTCAATATTTCGGTTCCAGTTGTTTCTGTCCATTAACCTAGTCCCACAGCCCTTTAAACCATCTCATCTATGCTTTACAGTACTGTTGACCATATGGTTTCATACTGATGATTTTTTTTTAAAGAACAGAGTACTCAAGGGTGATATTCATTACTTTATGACCCTAACCTGCTATTTAACTAAAAGGTGACTTGAAGGAATTGTTTTGGTTCAAAGTTTTTAAGGAGTATCTCTGGGCAATAGTCTTGGGGATTCCTCCAGTCTCAATGGGTCCAGTAAAGTCTGGATGTTTTTTAAGAATTTATGTTCTGTTCCACATTTTTCTTCCTTTCTATCAGTATCCATCGATTATGGCCCTGATCAGAGTGTTTAGTAGTGATAGCCAAGCACCAACTAGTTCTTCTGGTGTAATGGAGGCCATGGTCCATATAAGCAATTAGTCCTATAAACCAGTTCCTTTTTATCTATCTTGGGTTTCCTTCTTCTCTTTTGCTTTAGTAAGGACCAAATAGCTGTATCTTAGATGGCCACTCACAATCTTTTAAGATGCTAGCCAATACTCACCAAACTAGAATTCAGAATATAAGTTTTAAGAATTTTTTTATGCCAATCAACCGAACCAGTACCAGGCTGTTTTGATTATTATACCTGTATAGTACATTTTAAGGAGCTCTAGTGCCACAGTGCCTGAGGCATTTCATTGCTAACTAGAAGGTAGGCGGTTCAAACCCACCAGCTGCTCCACGGAAGTAAGATGAGACAATCGACTTCCAAAAAGATTTACCCCCTTAGAAACCTAATGGAGGTCACTATGAGTCAAAATCGACTCGACGGCAATTTTTCTTTTTTTTCCAATAGTATGTTTTGACATCAGGGACTGTGAGGCCTTCTACACTGTCCTTTTTCAATACTGCTTTGGCCTATTTTGGTCTTCTTTCTATTCCATATAAAACTGTTGATTAGTTTTTCTATTTTGGTAAATAACACTTTTGGAATTTGGACTGGGAATGCATTGTATCTATTGATTGCTTTGGGGAGTGTTGAAACTGTGTATACAGTTTTACCAACTTAAGATCATACTGTATTCAAAATTTTATCTTACCTTTTCTCCCCTTATGAATATATTTTCCCAATAATGGTTTTAAATCAGCTTGCTTCCAACCTCCTAATTTTACCAGGTGTTTCATCACTCTTTCTGGCAAAGTTAGAGAAGGATTCACTTGAGGGTAGCTCACCTCAGGTCCTTTGCCTTGCCTCATTATGAAGGCTAAGGAGAAGCTAGCTTGAGTAGAGACTATTTCTAATAAAATAATTCCTAACAAAATAATTTCACTATGTGGTTTTTTAAGCAATTATATTCTGTAGTTCACAGGTGAGATCTGCCTGGAGTAGATGGTGAGGTAAAAGACAGGGACTATTCCTTTCAGATTTTATACCATGTCCTCAGTCTTAAGACTCACTAGCAAGCCCCATTCTATTGATGTGATCTGGCTTGTGCATTCTGCACATTGTACTCTCTCATCCGAAACTGGTTAGATATGTTCTCACTGGCCTGAATGTGGCTATATTCTAAAACCCAGGTGCAAGAGAATCAAATCTCTAGGTACACTTTGCAATACAGGGTTTTAAGCACTGTCAAATTTTACACATTTACACAAGTGAAGGTTGGGCAATCTACTTCCGTAGTGATACTGCCCTGGAAACCCAAGGAGGGGTCACTATGAGTTGGGTTCGACTCAACGGCACATAACAATAACAAAGTTCATCAAAGCTCAGTCTTTTTTTTAAACTGTGATTTGGGTGAAAATTTACAGAGCAGATTCACTTTCCCTACAGCAGTTCACATACACTTTGTCTCATGGCATTGACTATGAGTTACCACAATGCAACAGCTCCTCTCCCACTTCCTCTCGATAGTTACCTCTTCCCTGTGTCCATCCCTCCATGCACTTATGCTCCCGGAGCTGTCTCCCTATGCATAAACAGCTCTTCTTTCTCCCATGATTGTTGTCTCCAAGGAGTGTAATCTACCTCAGGTAAATGTTCAACTCATATGCCTGGCTTTTGTTTGGCTGGAAGCCACAGGTATGGGTCCAATTCCAGACCTGAAGGGCAGCTAGGGGAAATAGTCTGAGGGGCTCCACCAGGCTCTATGAGACCAGCAAACCTTGCCCCCCCCCCTTTTTTTTCTCCAAATAATTTTGGGTTTTGTTCCACATTGTTCTGTTCTCTATACAGGATCTTCTACATAGGTCCCCCAACAAGTGGTTGACAGTGGTAGCCAGGTACCATCTAGTTCTGATCTCATAGTCGTATAGGCTGCATATCGCATGGTGTACCAGTTGCTAGGACCAAGTGTTTCCATGAATTTTTGGTTTTCTTCATTCTTCTTTGCTCTGGACAAGGTGACACCCATGGTTGCATCTAGATGGCTGCTTGTAAGCTTTTAAGATCCCAGTCACTACTCACCAAAGTAGGAGGTGGAACAATGTTTTGTGTAGTATGTTAGGCAAATTGAGCTTGATGTCCCCTGTGACTATGGTCCTGAGCCCACAGGTTCAACTACTTGGTCCCTCTGGGTAGCTGGCTGTGACGAAGAAGTGACTACAACTTTGCCCCTTGTCAGCTTTACCATACACCTGGGAATTCAGATCATACAAATAAGCTTATAGGACCACTGTCTGCCAACCCTATACATGGTCTTGGGTACACTCCTCGCTTCATAGACGTACCTACTACCTCAGCCTGTCCACCCATATACCCATGTTTGCCTTCACTGACAATGCACTACTGTATGTGCAAAAGGGTTCATCTTTGTTGTCAGTACCTCCCATGTACCTCTCTCTGTCCTCCTCTTCCTCAATACCACCATGTTGATCACTCACATTTGCTACATTGCCCTTCTCTTCACCCACGTCAATACTTATCTCTACCTAACTAACAGTGTTTCCTACCCTCCCTTCCCACCCCTGGTAACCAACAAAGAAAATTTCCATCCATAGATAAACCTTTCCTTGACTTTTACAATAACGGACTAATACAATATTTGTCCTTTTGCGATTGACTTATTTCCCTCAGCATAATGTCCTCCAAATTCATCCACGTTATGTGGTATTTTGCAGATTCTGGATTATTCTTTAGTGTTGCATAGTATTCCACTGTGTGTATGTACCATAGTTTGGTTATCCATTCCTCAGTTGATGGACCCCTAGGTTGTTTCCATCTTTTGGCTATCGTAAATAGTGCTGTGATGAACTCACTTCTTTAGGATATATACCTAGTAATGGAATGGCTGGGTCAAATGGTATTTCTAATTCCA